TTTAAATCATAATTTTTAAAGAGCAACTGTCATCTCTGCTACTCCTTTGACCCGCTGTTGACTCACCAATAGTCCCAGTGTTGCAGAATAGACAGCCTCGTGCTACATAACTAAGCTCCATTTCATGCTGAATAAACTAAATTATTTATCTTAAATAGAAAACTATCTTACGATAGATTTTTACCCCAAAAGTTTTTTATTAAAATAAATTCAATAAAAATCAAAAAAATCTGATTTAAATCAAAAAAATCCGATTTAAATAAAAAAAATCCGATTTTTTTGATTTTTTTAAAAAAATCATTGATTTTTATCCACCCTGCTTCTCTCCTTGATGAGTTTCCAACTATTATTTCTTGTCCTGCCTTCAGGTGCTTTGGAAAATAAGTCGACCCCTTCTTCTTTGGGGCAGCTCCTCAAATACTGGAGTACCGCTGTCATGTCCCCCCCCCCCCAGCCCTTCTTTTCTCTAGTTTGTCTTATCCAATTCCTGCAACAGTTCTTGGTCTATTTTAGTCTCCAGGCCTTTAATCGTCTTAGTTGCTCCCCGCCTCACTTTTTCCAGAAGCCCCAACTTCTTTTTTGCAATGTGGTGACCAAACCTCGATGCTGTATTCCAGGTGTGGCCTTACTAAGGTTTTATCAAGCGGTGCTAATACTTCACGTGATTTCGATTCTGTGCCTCTGTTTATACAACCAAGGACGACAGTGCAATAATATCGGCCCTTACATTTGTGTCTGTGTGTGTTTAACGGGAGTTGATTTTTGTTAAGCCGGGAGAAGGGGAACAGGTTGATTAATTGATCTGGTAAGTTTCTGGTGGAAAGAATAATGTGTATCCTTTCCAAATTTAAACCCGAGCTTCGGGATAAACAACTTGTGGTCAGTTTAACTAGAGCAGGAGTCTGCAACCTTAAACACTCAAAGAGCCATTTGGCACCCGATTCCCACAGAAAAGAAAACACCGGGAGCCACAAAACCTTTCCTGTGCCTGACGATTTCTTCAGCGGTCACAAAACTAGCATACGTAGTTGAATTAAACGTTCTGTTTTCTTCTGAAACTTTTCTTTTTCTTGGATTTATCCATGATTGGCCTACCGGGAGTTGAAAAGCTCAATAAATCGCGTGCCGGTGGGTGTCGCACATCGGCGGTTGTGACGCATATTTTGAATGACAGGGAGCCGCAGCAGAGGGGTGAAAGAGCCACATGCGGCTCCAGAGCTGCAGGTTGCTGACCCCTGAATTAGAGGCTGTGAGGGTATCACTGTGTAGTCCAATACTTAGCAACCTGGGTGTTTCTAATAGAAACAATAAATATTTCAGCATCAATGTATAATTGATGTCCAGGCAGACGTCCGTCGTCCTAACCTAACTATTGATGTAATCAACCTGATAGACATTTTGGCCATCCGAAAATAAGAATACAAAGAAATTAGACAGAAGAGGGCGACAAGATCCAGACAGAAGTAGAGATGCACAAGAGGGAATAACGCTTCTATCAGTAAATGTTAATGGCTTAAATTCTCCTATTAAGAGGAAAAATTACTTTAACAAATTGAGTAAGATGTGTTTAGATATAATAGTATTGCAGGAAACATATATGAAGGAGTCACATCAACAGGTATTAAAATATCCTAAGCAGGGGAATATGTTTACAGCTCTATCTCAACAAACAAACAAAAAAAGAGGAATTGTGATGTGTATCAGGTAGGTCCTCATCTTACAAACTGAGCCCAAAATTTCCGTCGTTAAGTGAGACGTTTGTTATGCGAGTTTTGCTCCATTTCGTAACCTTTCAATTTGCCGCAGTTGTTAAGCGGTTCACTTAACGACTGGGAAAGAAAATGGGGCACTTAACAAACGTCTCACTTAACGACAGAAATCCGGGGGCTCAATTGTGGTCGTAAGTCGAGGACTTCCTGTATCTGTATTCTAGCCTTCCCTGTGAAGATCGGATTACTGCTTCAATTCAAGGTTACTGCATTTTTCAGAGAAAAACTTTGCCCAGTTTTGTAAACATGCAACGAGCAATTATAGGGACTTTTTAAATTTTTAAATATATCTAAATTTGGAGCCGGATGAATTAACTTGGGAGCTCAACTATTTTTATGCAAAAATCAGTCTAGGCCTTGTCACAGGGATCAAAGCTAATTGATGTTTTTAAAAGTCTCGTCACTCTTTGTAAATAAGAAGGCAATTATATTAAAATTTAAGGCACTGGATGATGCCCTGAACAGTAATCAGCCGTACTTGTTGCCATTAAAAAAGCTCCTCGTGACATAAAAATGTTTTATTCACTAAAAAGGCCTTTAGCTAAGGAAGATTATTGGAGCCTCATAAAGTCATTAGCTGGTCCTAATTAAGAGGAGGTAAAATCCAGCTCTTGAATAGAGAATTTCTGCAAGTTTTTCTTCTCTTCCTTTTTCCTATAATCTTTTTTTTAAAAAAAAAACTTCTAGGAATAAAAGAAACCCCTACTACAACTTGATGTAGTTATACCAGGCTGGATTAGAACGGACCAGCCAAATTTCAGGAGATTTCTTGCGACGTTTCCCCAGTCTAAACTGCATTAAATGGAATCTAGTAACCAATAAAAGGAGAATATTTGTAGCTCAGGGTTGAAATGAGGGTGCTCTCTGAGCTTAGTGGTTTTCTCGCAGACGTAGGTAACATCATCAGTACTAGGAGGGAGGGAGATTTATGGACAGGAGGAGGATTGTCACCAGTGCTAGAAGAGAGAGGAGTTTCTGGGGGGGGGGAGGAGGAGGAAGAGGAGGAGGAGAACTGTAGGGGTCCTTGGTGCTGTCTGATCTTAGTGGGTTTTTTGCAGACGTTTCATTACCCAACTAGTTAACTTCATCAGTGCTAGGAGGGAGTGGGGTTTGTCGAGAGAAGGAGAAGGATTGTGGGGGTTTTGGTCCTTTTTGAGGCTGGCTGCTTTCTTACAGACGTTTCATTACCCAGGTAGGTAACATCATCAGTGCTAGCAAGAAAACAACTCAGTTCAGAGACCACCCAAGGGATCTAGTAAACAATTTGTATTTGTACCTAAACGATGCTGACTTGAGCTGAATGCCAAGTTCACCCTTAAGCCTTAACCCAAACAGATGGAAATGTTTGCCCTTTAAAAAAGGCATTCCTGAATTTGCATCCCCAAAATTCAAACGCATGGAAAAACTCCAGCCAGTAAACAAGAATCAAGAAAGAGGAGACAATGACTGCATTCATATATGAATAAATGTGCCCAAGGCCACTATAACTTACACCCATGCATATTTCTTCAGTAACATTTGAAAAACTCATTCCTGTGAGTCAGCTCCGTGCTAAGTTATTTTCTGCATAAGGAAAGCATTGCCAGACACGTCTTACTGCACCTACTACCTCCAGATGTTATAAAAGCTTTGAGGAACCAGAGGATAAATCTGAATTATTTTATTTAAAAAAAAAACACCTCAGATATTAGTCCCAAAGGTGCTTTTTTCAGGAGGCAACTGGACTCTTTTTTTTTGTTTGAGGAGGTTTCGCTTCTCATCCAAGAAGCTTCTTCAGCTCTGACTGGATGGTGGGGGAATGGAAGGATTGATACTCCTTGCAGACAGCTGGTCATTTGCATCCTTTTAGAGGGTCCTTGAGGCCACTTGGAGGTTTTACCTGTGTCCTCAGGGTCACCTGAGTGGCGCTCCTGTAGTCTGCCATTTTTCCAGTTGTCTGTAAGGAATATAAAGCCTTCCGTTCCACACTATCCTGTCAGAGCCGAAGAAGCTTCTTGGACGAGAAGCGAAATGTCTTCAAAAGAAAAAAAACAGAAAGTCCAGTGGCCTCCTGAAAAAAACACTTTTGGGACAACTGTGACCTGGATGACTGAGAATCTCTACAGACTTTTAGCTATTCAATTTGGGATGACACTCTTGGAATGGTGTGGGAGTAGGAATGGATTTCCAGAGGGGAGAAAAATTGCAAACTACAGGAACTATTAGCATTACTCAGGTGACCCTGAGGACACAGAGAAACCTCCAAGTGGCCTCAACGACCCTCTAAAAGGATGCAAATGGTCAGCTGTCTGCAAGGAATATCAATCCTTCCCTTCCCCATCCATCCAGTCAGAGCTGAAGAAGCTTCTTGGATGAGAAGCGAAACGTCTTCAAAACAAAACAAAAACCAGAAAGTCCAGTTGCCTCCTGAAAAAAAACACCTTTGGGACAAACAAACCATGACCTGAATGACTGAGAATCTCTACAGACTCTCAAGTTATTTGTGCGACTGTGAATCCCTTCCACACAGAAGCTTAAGTTTAGTAACATCCATTCAATCCTGGAATAGTTCAAGTTGCAGAACAAGATGCTACCGGTAGTTGCAGGATCCAATCTGGGTCGGTCAGCGGGACCAGAGGTTCTGTCTTCCGGGTTTTTGGACTCGTGCTGGAGCCCGTCTTCAGGGAATTTCTGTTCGGGTCTCTAAGAGACCCGGTGCCAAGTTTTGCCTTGCGCTGCGTTTGGAAACTAGTTATCTGGCAGCTAGCCAAGCGAGATAAGGTTTGTGTTGATAAGTATTCCTCTGAAAGACTGTTTGGACAAGCCTTGCTGACTGTGAATGGAAAGGAATTCACAGTCGTGTAAATAAAAGAGGTTTTGCCGGGACCAAGACTCTGCTTCCTAGTTTTTAAGGGAGCCTAGCTCAGAACACTAGGGTTAGAGAGAAATTCCAAAAGCTCGGAAAACCAAATCTCCGATCCCGGTGACTGACCCAGATTGGATTCTGCAACATTATTCCCCGGGACACGCGTACTCGCCTTCATCCACTACAGATGATCTTCGACGTTGACCACAATTGAGCCCAAAAGTTACGTTGCTAAGGTGAGATCGTTGTGAAGTGAGTTTTGCCCCATGCCGTGGTAACTTCAAACGGCCACCTCAATGAACTGTCGTAAGTCGAGGACTACCTGTAATCAGGCCAGGCTGTAATTTCTTTTAGAACCATCATTTCGTACTGGAAAAAAATCTTACCTTTTTCTGGTACCAGACGATAGCATCTGTTACTTTGGAGGCCATTCTGTGGCATTTATACCGAAGTCATTTTAGGCTGTGGTGGAAAAAAAAAAAGACAACATACAAATTTAAACCTTAGAATTTCGACTACAGCAAGCACAATAAGATGTTTTAGCTTAAATAGGGATGGACATCCGTCAAATGTTGTCATATTTCCAACACACCCACTATCATACTGGTATTATTTCTTAAGTGTCTTTTTGGCAAAAATCCATTTTGATCAGGGGGGTATGATTTCATTTAGTATTTTTTTTTAAAACTCTTTCCGCAATTATTGTGACAAATATTTTACAATCGGCATTTAACAACGAGATTGGCCTATCATTTTTAATTTGTTGATTATCTGTATTGTCAGGGAGTATTTTAATAGATGCGACCACTACTATTTAATCCAAGTTCAAATGCTGTGAACGAAGCCGATTGTGTCATTTCTAGATCACGGGGGTTAAACTCAAGGCCTGGGGCCTGGATCCGGCCCGCGGGGGGCTTAGATCTAGCCTGCGGGGCCACCCTGGAAACAGCGAAGGACTGCCCTGAGGTGTCTCTGCCAGTGAAAACAGAGCTCGGGAAGGCTGTGTGCAGCCCTCCTGGGCTCCGTGTTCGCTGGCAGAGGGTTGCAGGAAACCGTCGCAGCCGAAAACAGAGCTGGGGAGCCCATTTTTGCTGGCAGAGCGCTCAGGCCGCCACAGGCGCCCCCCCGACACGAGTGACATCGAGCTGGCCACGCCCACTCTACCCCCCCCCTCCGAGGTCAAACACAACCCTGATGCGGCCTTCAATGAAATCGAGTTTTGACACCCCTGTTCTAGATGATGTTTATTGAGTTTCTATTTCACAATATTCTTTAAAGGATGGAAACCAACCAGAGAGAGAAGCAACCTGGAATTAAGGAGAAACTTCCTAACAGTGAGAACAATCAACCAGTGGAACAGCTTGCCACCAGAAGTTGTGGGTGCTCCATCATTGGAGGTTTTTAAGAAGAGACTAGACAGTCACTTGTTTAAAAAGCTCTACAGAGAATCATTAAAACTGCCCGGAATATCATCGGGCTCCAGCTACCAGCCCTGGACGACATCTTCGAATCTCGCTGTTTGAGGAAGTTGCGTAACATTCTCAGAGACTCTTCCCATCCTGCTCACAATCTTTTTGGACCGTTGCCTTCTGGCAGAAGATATAGAACAATTAAAACTCGGACCACACGTCTTCTGAATAGTTTTTATCCCAGAGCTATAATTGCACTCAACAATGAACTAAAGGGCCACCATCAGTGAGCTGTTGGACAGCATTACTTGGACTGTTGTGTAGATGGATGTTTGGATGGTTTTAGGGTTGGGGAATTGTGGTGGTTGGGAGCGTGTTTGGGGATTGTTATGTGTGTTGGGCCTGGTCTTTGGGTGTTAAGTGAATTTCGTTGAATGGGTATACTGTGTATACACGTACAATGACAATAAAGTTATTATTATTATTGCTTAACGCATTGTAAGCCGCCCTGAGTCTCCGGAGAAGGGCGGCATATAAATCGAATCAATCAATCAATCAATCAATCAATCAATCAATCAATCAATGGTATAGGTTCTCCTACTTGAGCAAAGGGTTGGACTAGAAGACCTCCAAGGTCCCTTCCAACTCTGTTATTCCGTTCCACTCTTAATTCAGAAATCATCTCCCTTTACTTTTGGGAGGGGGGGGTGTTTGAAGCTTCTGCTTTCCAATTATGTGTCACAGTCAACTCCTTCTACTTCCTGTTCAGGAATGGAGAACTTCAGATCTCTGATGGGCTTCCAAATAAAGCAAGTAACCAGTTTCCTTTGCAATAAACAGCTACGTTGCTAATAAACCACAAGATCTGCACTGCAAATGAAACCTGGCTTGGAACCGATCTCTTAGACGAATGCCGATCTCCCTATATCCTTTCTCCCCATAGCAGCTCAGCTCCAACACTTAGGCTGAAGAGGCACAGTGTTCAAAGGGACAAGTACTATGGGAACTAAAGTGTTAAACCGAGGGACTCCTAGTGCTCTCTGAGCTTATCGGTTTTCTTGCAAACATTTCATTACCCAACTAGGTAACATCATCAGTGCTACAAGGGAGGAAGGTTTGCAGAATGGAGGCGAAGGAGGAGGGGAGGAAGAGGAGGAGGATATGGAGATCTCTGAACTTAGTGGTTTTCTTGCAGGCACTTCATGTCGTAAGTCATAAGTCGAGGACTACCCGTATACAATATTGTCGAGAGAGTAAAAGAATTGAAATGGAAATGGGTTGGTCACAAAACAAGAACAATGGATTCCACTTACTGTATTTTTTGGAGTATAAGAAATTTTCCCCAAAAAAAGAGGGTGAAAATCTGGGTGCGTCTTATACTCCGAATGTAGCCCCCGCCCAACCTCTCGAATGGAGATTTCAGAGGCTGAAAGAAGCCTCTGAAAGAAGCTTCAGAAAAAAAGCCTCAGAAACGAAGCTTCAAAAAAAAAAAGCCCCTAAAAGGCTTTTACCTAAAATAATATTGCAAGCGGCAAAAGAAGAATCAGTAAAGGTTCTAACCAAACTATGATAACAAATCTGGGGAATGACACAATAACCAACAGATCGGAAGAGGTTAATTTACATACCAATACCAAAGAAAGGAGATTGAACAGAGTACAGATAGCCCTTCAGAAAAAAAAAGCCTCTGAAAGAAGCTTCAGAAAAAAAGCCTTTGAAAGAAGCTTCAGAAAAAAAGCCTCCAAACAGAGCTTCAGAAAAAAAGCCTCCAAACAGAGCTTCAGAAAAAAAGCCTTTGCAAGAAGCTTCAGAAAAAAAGCCTTTGAAAGAAGCTTCAGAAAAAAAGCCTCCAAACAGAGCTTCAGAAAAAAAGCCTTTTTTTTTTCTGAAGCTTTGCTTTGGAGGCTTTCAGAGGCAGGAAAAAAAAGTTTTTTTTCTGAAATGGAGTTTCCGAAGTTTCAGAGGCAGGAAAAAAAGCAAGGCACAGAGCTCACAACCAACCAACCTGTTGCTAAAATTCACCTCTGGGAACAGCTGATTGGGGGTATTCCGGGAGGCCGATCCACCCGCCAATCAGCTTTTTTCTTATTTTCCTCCCCAAAAAACTAAGATCCGTCTTATACTCCGAAAAATACGGTAATCAAAAGTGTCCACGAGAGAGACTTAAAACAAGATGGATGGAAGACATCAGCAAGTACCGCGGGGCCAATTGGGAAAAGGAAATTCAGGGCCCTGTAAGCTGGAAACAGGCAGAAGCAGCCTTCATCCTGCAAGGGATAGACTGTGGCTAGAATGATGGTTTATTCAACCACGTATTTGAGAGGTCCTTGGTGCTCTCTGAGCTTGGTGGTTTTCTTATAGACGTTTCATTACCCAACTAGGTAACATCATCAAGGCCAGTAAGGAGTGTTGTTTGCTGTCAGTTTATCGTTTATTTACAGGCATTATTTATTGAAACTAAAAGCAAACAGCACTCCTTACTAGCACTGATGATGTTACCTAATATGTAATGAAACATCTGCAAGAAAACCACCAAGCTCAGAGACCATCAAGGACCCCAACAGTCCTCCTCCTCCTCCCCTCCCTCCTAGCGCTGATATTACCTAGTTGGGTAATGAAATGTCTGCAAGAAACCAAGCTCACAGAACACCAAGGACCCTTCAACCCTCCTCCTCCACCTCCTCCTCCAACCCCACTCTGGATTTCAACCATAGGCTACAAATGTTCTCCTTTAATGGAGCCACATATTTTCCTGAGATGCCCCATAAGTTTCTTTAAGACAATCACGCAATCCTAACGATTTCCGCTCTGCTAGAAAATACGGATTGGGAGAGAGAAAAGGAGGCTACGTATTTCTCAGTGCAATTCTCTGGATGGTTATTTTGCGCCGTCTCAAATCTACATTCTGTGCCTGTAGAGAAACGACCTTCAGAAGGTTACTGAACGGAGAGCTTCTGGCAAGAAGTCCTGCTCCCGTTCCCCAGGGCCTGTCGAAAGCATCACAAAAACATCATTTCTCTGAGTGTTCCCCAGACACAAGATAACGTATCACTACAGGGACGCCCGAACGATGCAAAATGTACAGTCTTTTTTAATCATCGGCGCAGTCTGTTCTCGGCGGCCTTCATTCGTCCCACATCTGGGGACGAGCTGAATTTTCGAGCGGCCGACCCTTCGCATCGAAAGCGAAGATCACTCAATGCCCTAGTTCAAGAATCCAAAAGTCAGACTTAAAAAAAAAGAAAGAAAGAAAAATTTAAGGAGTTGGAGAACGCATTTCCATACCCAATTTTATTCTTAGAAACCCCTTCTAGATAGCTTACTAAAAAGCACAGACATCACCCTGCCAACAAAAGAGCGTATAGTCCAGGCGATGGTTTTCCCAGAATGGAGAATGGAGGCCTTTGAACAACGGTGCTGGAGAAGACGCCTGCGAGTCCCTTGGACTGCAAGGCCATCCAACCGGTCGGTCCTAGAGGAAATCAACCCTGACTGCTCTTTAGGCGGCCAGATCCTGAAGATGAAATTCAAATGGCCACCTAATGAGAAGGAAGGACTCCCTGGAGAAGAGCCTAATGCTGCGAACGATTGAGGGCAAAAGAAGAAGGGGACGGCAGAGAACGTGGTGGCTGGATGGAGTCACTGAAGCAGTCGGCGTGACCTTAAATGGACTCCAGAGGATGGTAGAGGACAGGAAGGCCTGGAGGAACGTGGTCCATATAGTCGGGATGGGTCGGATACGACTTTGCAACTAACAACAACAACGTTCTTAGAAAAGTGGGGAAAACAAAAAACTCAGATCGTCCGTCAAACCATCCCACAGCTCGCCAGCTCACCTTGTCGATGTAATTGTTCCTAGGCACACCTCTTTTGTTCTCTCTCTCGCTCTCTCCCTCTGCGTGCCGCAAGTAATTGAAGTCTCAAAGGGTTAGAAGCTGAAAATAATAAAAAGGCTTCAGGAGGCTTGGGAGGAAGTGGGTGAGCAACAGGTTGAGTGCTCGGAGAGGAAAAAAAGAAAATGTACTTTATAAGTGGCGGGTGACACAGCTGCAA